TTTCAACAAATAAAAATGAGCATTCGAAAGTATTGCAAAGTTCCTCGTTTTCCAGATATTCCTGTACCCCCCGGACGAGTTTCGACATAAGGGAGGGGAGGAGCTCGAGAAGCTCAAAAGTTTAAAAACGAGTCGTTAACAATGATTCGACTATGATGCTTCCTTTGTAGCTGTTTTTAAGGAGGCGAGATCAGTTACTTCAGCCAACCGACTAGTGTAGGTGGACGAGTTCGCACATTACACTGATTTCAACTCGTACGGAGGCACCTAATCAGGAAGTTGCTAGTACTGATCACTTTTGTGTACATTAGTAAATAATTAGATCCATCTGTCATCCATACTGCTTCCTCATATTGATTAGCGCTTCCAGTCAGAATCAAGTCCAGTGATGGGTTTGTTCCCGTCCATTTCAAGGTAAAGATGCGCTTTCCAGGAAAAAGCTTTCCGAGTAGGCCTGTGCAATGAATCTTATTACAATCTGGTTACAGCAGTTCTCCATAGGCTCGGGGGTCACTCACCTCAAACAAAAAGCCCGCCTACTCCATAAGCCACGCCCTCCGATTGTTATCGATTGGAAGGTCTGCGATTAAATTTGAACCCTCATGCTTTTTCCAGTGTTCTTTCGGTATTACTGCATCGATAGAAACGACTCGTTTCAATTCGTAATCAACCATCAAACCGTTACAAGCATTTCAGTTGATTGTGAGCGGCTTGAAATCAGTTTTGCTTCGTGGACCCCAACAACAGTCAGGAATCAGTGTTCCATGGAAGTTTTCCTACAAAACAAGACAAGTTTCACTGAATTTGAACTCACGAATCGAAAGAGATGCCATATTCGTGCTACGCACAATCGGCAGCTCTCTTCAAGCTAGAGTCTGTTTTAGTCGACTTAAAAACCTTTACAGTATGACTAAAACTCAAAAGAACTTATGCCTTTCGAAGTAATAGTAATGATCGCATCACACTTCAGGCCTATCGGCCTTCTGATAAATATCAAAATGCCTGAAAAAACGACATTTTCCTTGAACAATTCTGGCTAGTTTAGACGGTACTA